TAACATAATGGTGAGTGTAGATGGCTGGGGTGGGTGGGGAGAAGTTTAGTGTGTAAGGTTTTTGAGAGCTGTTAAACAGGAGAAACTACATGGTGAGAACTGTCAGGACTTGATGACTAATGGCTGTCAAGGTTAAGGGGAAGGGATGGCTGGCTTCTGGTCTGAAAAAAGTTTTTCCCTATGGTACTGCAACATGCCATGTGAGTGCACTTAAAATGTTACTTACTTCAGTAACATTTATTGCATCATGAACCTGTATGTATAGAAATGAATTTTCTAAAATATTCTGTGGAACATCATCCTAAGTGAACTAACACAGGAACAGAAAACCAAACACCACATGTTCTCACTTACAAGTAGGAGCTAAAACAAGGATCTGCAAAGGCATACAGGCTCGTATAATGGACACTGGCGACTAAGAAGGGGGAGGGTGATAAGGGGTGGATGGATGAAAAATTACCTATAGGGTACGAAGTGCACAGGTAGGGGTGGTGGGTACAATTAAAGTCCAGACTTTTTTGCTGCTATACAATGCATCCAAGTAACGAAAACTATTTGTACCTCCCTACAACTATTGAAATAAAAACATTTGTAAATATAAATTTTCTGAAATATTTATTACAGATTCTTTCATGAACATAAAATCTATGGCTGTTATCATCTGAATGTGCCCCTCCAAAATTCATGTGTTGAAATCTAATCCCCAGTGTGGTGGGGCCTTGGGTGATAGTGAATAGGTCATGAAGGCAGAGCCCTTGTGGATGGGATTAGTACCTCTATAGAAAAAGCCTGAGTGAGCTTGTTTGCCACTTCCATCATGTGAAAACACAGCAAGAAGGCACCATCTTAGTGGAATAAGCCCTCAGACACAAAATCTGCTGGTGTCTTGATCTTGGACGTCCCAGCTTCCAGAACTGTAAGCATTACATTTCTATTATTTATGAATTATCAAGTCTAAAGTTATTTGTTACAGCAGCCTGAACTAAGACAGCTATACATGCAAAGCATCAAATATTTTTTACAGCTGCCGGTTTTTTTATACATTAAGCCTCTAGTAATATATAGAGGAGTGCTGAAAAATGAACACATTTTAAGTATGACATTCAGTCAAAAGATGGCGTTAATCAAATGAATGCTAGTGTCACCATGCAGTAGGCAGGACAGTCAAAGAAAATGGCGGAAGCACAGTTGAGCATATATCATACTACACATTGCTACTGTAATTTAATTCAACTTCAAAAAGTAAGACATAGATAGCATTTCTTAAAACGTGTATACATGTTTTTGGCAACCTCTATATACTTGTAGTCAACATTACATCAATTCATTTCTTAGACATTGGTCAAATAACTACTATTAGTATATTGTAGTTGTTATTTTGCAAAACTATTAGAGAAAATTGTCTTAAATATTTGGAAAAACAAATCAGCCTCTGATAATGACCCTAATTTTCTTTGGAAAGTTTTATCTGACCACTAAGCTATGGGATTACTTTATCTGAACATATTTGGCTAAATCCTTGATGTAAAGAAAAAATGTTTATACAGGTCACGGATCTGTTGTGCGTATGTGTATGTGTGTGGTGTGAGTGTGTGTCTGTGTGTGTGTGTGTTTTCTCTCTAGTGCTGATTTAACATATTTCCCTAAGCAGAAAATGTTGACTACATTCATTGGCTTTGCTCTGGAACACTGTCTCCGAACAACAGTCCTCATCTAGAGGAAAGAGAAAGAGAAGCCACACACACTTTGGTTTCTGCAACATGGCAACATTTGTAAAACCAAAATGACGTGTGAAAGGAAGACTAAAGAACCAGAAGAAATGTATTTCCATTCACCCTGGTTAAATCTTCCTCGAAACAGAGATAAGAAACAAAATGAAAAACTCATTCCTTTTAGAAAATGAGTCTTTAACCCAAGGGTTGGTTTATTTGGATTCTAGGCCCACATACCACACGTTCAAAATATATTGCTATGGTGTCATCTCCTACTAAATGTTGCTATGACTTTTAAGCAAGAACATTTAATAGGAAGTAACCTAGGGAAGGGATGACCTAACTCAGCCATCAATAATTCATCTATTGGAAATAGGAGTAGTGGTATGAAATGCCAGCCAACTATTTCATTTGTAGGGAGGTGTTTTCTATTTTAAGCCTAAAACAATGCAGTCAGTCAGCTTTATTTGGCAAGCTAATATAAATGGAGGCAAAGCTGAACCGAAGGACAGGTTTTGATGATCTCCTCTAATCATGCTATTTCTTTAGCATCAGTTACTTAGGTCCGACACACCACCATTTAGAAAGTTGAAAAAGTGACAAGAAAGGGATTTTTGTGACTTTTGTACTTCAGAGGTGACTTCCTTCACTCCAAAGCATGACAGTAAAAATCTAATCATGCAAATCGAAGAGAGATACTTTGCATAAAGTTTTGAGGGTACATTCTCTATTAGTACTAAAAAGCCTTCAGGCATTCGTGTTTCTTACTAAGTCATCTCCAAATTCAACCAGTTAGGAATCTACATTTTTTCCCTCACTGTATCCTCCAAGCATTTAGCACAGAGCCACACACAAAGCAGGGTTGCAATGAATATTTGTTGAATGAATGAACAAATGCAGTCAACTAGGAAATAATTCCAACTATGCTCTGAAGTCTCCTGATCTGATTGTACAATGAGGAGGCATTTGCACAGTATATGCCTCAACTTCCTTATTCTGCCGACGACTAGAAATTCTTCACTTCTACTATCACTACCTTATATTAAATTTAAGGACTCATGTTCCACCATGGAAGATGCAGAAATGGAATCAAAACCAGACTAACTGAAGACTGCATGAGTCACAATTCCCACCCCTCAAAGAAGCAGAAAAACCAATCTCAATCTCTAACTATAGAAACAGAATTTCTATAGTTAGAGGTTGAGATTTAAATGTGAAATGTTCATATGAACACATATTTTGCCTTAATTTAAATGTGAAATGCTCATATGAACACATATTTTGAGTTAACAGTAATTTTTAACTGATTATTTATCAAGACTTAAATATACAACTACAACACGTAATTCCAATAATAACAGTTATAATTATGTAGTCAGCTTGGTGTTTTACGCATATTATTGCTATTCTTTAGAGGTATTATTATGCCCACTTTAGAAATTTTTTTTAAGTACTAAAGTTCAAAATAGTTAAGCCCAAAGATCATCAAGCTGATCAAGAAGAGCCGGGACTAAAAGTCAGCTGCTCTAAACTACAAACTTAAACTCTTATTTCCTAATGCTGGTGACCGCCATCCAAACGAAATTAGCAACCCACGGATCTGTGCTTAAAGACTGACCTATCAATCATATCTATCATTGTGGGCTAATAGGCAGAGAGGATATTTTAATTCTAAATGCCCGGATACATGCCCTTGATCAGCTTAGAGAAAAAGTCAGGCAGAACTGTACATCCACATACCCCAAGGTACTGTTGACTTCAATAAAACAGAGGTGGGGATTGTTGGTGTCGTATCTAGAAAACGCCATATTTCACTGTCAAGACTACAAACCTGAGCACACATCTGGAACATCTTGTCCTCCAACAATCAAACTCCCACCGTACTCAATGAACCACAGATAGTGCTTGGAATGGGTCAAAACACACTAGAATACCTCAGAGTGAGCATGACCACAGGGACTCTTCTGGAACAACGGTCTTAGGAAGCAGCCAAGTTTAGAAGAAATTCTCAGAAAGGATTTTAGAAGGATAGTCTATAAAAAGTCATCAAAGCCAATACTCAAAGAACTGTGATTACACATAGACATTATAATCTAAACAACAACAACCAGGCCTGAAAGAAAACTATCCAATTTAATTTAGGCCTCTTTCTCTTTTTGTTTGGAAATTCTGGAAAATTCTATCTATAGCAATTTGTATGTTAATGCTTTTGCCACTGAATCTGATCTAGAATAATTACTTTGTTGTTAATATTAGCAAACAGCATATTTCTACAGCTACTTTGCTTAAAAGTCTTCTTTTTAGATGGCGGAAAAAATACATGTACAGTTACAATTTTCTAGGTCATATGGTTTTATCTAAACTTATTGACTTACTTAATCAAATAATACTAGCTGAGAAATTTTTCCCTAAAGAAAAAAGCAGACTGGAAATAGCACAAAATAAGTGGGCTGAACAGTTATCTCTGCAGCTTGTTAATGCTAACCTAAAGTATGTACATAAAAATTCAAATGAAAGTGTCTAAATCACTGTACTGTCCCAAGGAGCTTCACAGTAAAAGGGAAGAAAGTTAATTAATGTGATGTAGAAACTGGAAATATCTACTAATGTTTTAAGGAATCTGGGTCATTATGTAAGCATGAAAAACTATTCCCCCTTACTTACTGAGGGGTGTAAAATATTAAATATGTTATCAGATGAATGTGCATTTTCATTTGCATTCACTAAAACTATAAACTAATCGAAAAGTGTGTTATATGGGTTTCTGTGCCTCTTGACTGGGGAGGATAAGAATGGTAATGCGTTCCACAAATGGTAGGGATCCTTCTAGATATTTCAGGGATATCAGTGGAAAACACAACCACTATAAAGTAGAGCAGAAGAAAGTAAAATAGAAAGCTCCGCAAACACATTATTCAATCAAATTTGTTCAGTCTGACAGAATCAAGTAACTCTTGGGAGGCACTTGGTTTTGTCTCTCCCTTTACCACCCCATCCCCAAAACAAACAGGTCATAGGCCAATGACTATATGAGAGGCAACCCCTGGTTCCATCCTCAAGATCTGGAAATGCATAGACAATCCCCACAGCTTTTTCTACAACCATTCCTACTATGTGGACCATCTCTTTTCTTACTCAGAAGCTCCAGCGGAAAGACACTTGTTTATCTTAGAGCAAATTAGGGATCATTTGTTACCAAGGATTTTGAAGAAAATACTTCCCTCAGCAAGAGTGGAAAACAAAGCTCCTTGCCAGCCACACGCCAGTCACCCCTCACTTGGGACTTACTTGTTCTCATTGCTTGCATCATAACGAGGCATTGGGTCTAAGTCATTTCCATTCACGTCACAACTCGCCAGCGCATCCTATGGCCACAGAAGAGACAGCAAGAAAAAGGAAAGAGACATTCATTAATTAGCCATTGACCCACAGGCTCATGCATTTTTAAACACATTTCTGCTAGAAAGTAATTAGGTTAACTAATACGCTCATGGTTCGGTGGTGTCAGGATGCCTTAGGGAGGGACTGCTCGTTGGGTAATAATTAGTGCTGTATTTTTCCCCTGCAAGGTGAAGAAGCACTCTCCACAGACCAAAGAAGTGCCCAGTGCATTTGCCAGCACTCTTCCCTTCATGCCTAGAACGACCTAGTTCATGAAATGTGTATCTTTCGAAGATGTTCTTAATTACTGCCTTTTCTGTGAAAGTGCTCCTTGACTATCTAGAAGCAGAGTGATTTATTCTCCATAAATTCTCTCCCTATTCCTTACTTGGTTTCTTGAACTTGCGACTTCCTATCATATTTGAGATTTTAGAAGACAAAAATCATTCACATATTATTGGTAAGTAGGCTTTAGAGTATATCTAATATAATAATTTTGCCTACAAGAAAACAGAGGCCCAAAAGAGGTTAATGCCTTTTGGCATGACACAAACCAAGACTGAAACGCACGTACTCTGACACCTCATCCAATGGGCTTTCTCTACCTTCTCCATCAGGAGAGCCAAGAGGGCACTAATAACGATAATTGCACAGTTAATTCTGGAGAATTCTTTTTCAAGGAAAAAAAAATGAAAAAGGTAAAGACTGCAATCAAAATTACATGAAAACTATTTGTATTTAACCAAATATATCCATAGACAGTGGGGAGCAGCATCACACAGTAAAAACCTCTTTGCATGTGACAAGAAAGACATTTCTGCTGGGGTATAGGCAGTTTCTGTTCTTAACATCTGACCTTGGTGACACATCTGAGTCTTCAGGCTTCAGTTTCTTCTCCTTTTAAATGAGGAGACTAAACTGAGGTTCCTTTTTAGCTGTACGATTCTATGCTGTGAAGAGACACCAGTTTGCCTGAGTACACCTGGACACAGCGAACTCAACTGTTTTGTTCAAATGAGAAGTAAGTGAATTTGTGGTTCCTTCTTAAGAAATGGAATTGACTGATTCCTATAGATTACTGAGAGGCTGATCATTAATTTAAATAAGGTGCTTTAAATAAGGTGGGAGGAGAGGGGGGAAAGAGAGAGAAAGAAAGAGAGAGAGACAGACAGAGAGAGAGAGAGACCAGCAGAGTAACTTGAGGAAGGTTCTAAGTACATTTTTCTCCACAAAAGAAACAAACGGTATCTTTTGTTTCTGGTTGCTTGGATAAATTGTTGTGAACAGTGTATGCTGTTGGTAGCAGATGGTCAGATGGAGCTCATGGTGGGGTTTCTGCTACCTTATCACTTTCTGTTTGTAGGTCAGAACATCATAGGCTCTGGAAAGTTGCAAGTGCTATCTCATGCTTCCTGTATTCTAAGAGTTCATCTTTTTTTTTTTTGAGTCGGAGTCTCACTCTGTCGCCCAGACTGGAGTGCAGTGGCGGCTCCCTGCCACCGCAGCCTCGACCTGCTGGGCTACGGCGATCTTTCCGCCTCAGCCTTCCGAGTAGCCAGAATTACAGGCGTGCGGTACCACGCCTGACTGATTTTTTGATTTATTGTAGAGATGAGGTCTGCTGCCCAGGCGGGTCTCAAACCCGTGGGCTCAGGCAATTCACTCAACTCAGCCTCCCAAAGGCACGGGATTACAGGCTGAGCTACCGAGCCTGGCAAGAGTTCATTTTTACAAGAAAAAAGCAAAAACATAGAGCCTATTGTATGTTGCTACATTTTTCAGTAGCTAGCCAACATATTGATAAACATTACATGAGTTTCCTGCTTCCCAGGAAGGAAGACCTTCCAAACCACGACCAACACTCACATAGTTTTGCATCAGGTCCGGATGGGTTCTCTCAATGCCATCATCCAGGATGGTGACCACAATGTTCTTGCCTGTGTAGCCTCTCTTCCAGGCTCCTTCGATATTCATGTCAGACTGGCAGGGATGCGTGTTGTCACTGCAGTGCTGAAGGAGGAAGAGGATGTTTTAAGATTACTAACTAGCGAGGAGATGGGAGAATTCCCTACTCCATAAGATAATGCATTAAATGAACAGCGATTTGGTAGACCGCCTGGTAGAGCAGGTGCACAGATCTCCAGCGTCATAAAAGGGGAAGATAGGAAGGAAAGACGCAGGAAAAGCAAATGAAACAGAAATCTCTCTACCACCAGCTCTGACCTGTTCTTATACCATAAATCCTTTGGAAAAGCATAAAATAAAGTCTATCTCAACAGCAGAAAAATGGCTGTATCATTTTATTGTTAGCATGTTTTAATGACACAAATTAAGCACTGTAGCACTTCATTTATAAATCCAACCCAGCTAGCTGAAGAACATTACTTTATAATTTCTTAACCTGGCACCTAGAAGCCAATCTGGCTACACATGGAACTAACCCAGGCGGCTTTTGAACAGCCAGTCAGAAGTGTGTTCCTGTGAGAAACTCCTGAATGAGAAAAAAATAACAGGTTTTCCAAAGGGCAGGCTGAAACACATGGCTCCCCAGTTCATTACATGTGCTAATTTCATTCATGTGGCTATAAGTATAGAAATGTGTTGAAAAATGGATTAGTCCATCAGCTTCTCCTGCTATAATTTACTAGTGTTCACCCAAGCCACACAATTGTTCCTTTATTTTCTTTTTTAAGTCAGGGTCTCTGACGCCCAGGCTGGAGGGCAATGGCATGCTCATGGCTCACTGCAGCCTCAACTTTCTGGACTCAGGCAAATCTTCCACCTCAGCCTCCCAAGTAGCTGGAACTACAGCACATGCCACCAAGTCCAACTAATTATTTTTTTTTTTTGGTAGAGAGGAGGTCTCGCTACGTTGCCCAGGCTGGTCTTGATCTCCTGGGCTCAAATGGTCCTCCCACCTAAGCATTTCAAAGTGCTGGGATTACAGGCGTGAGCCGCCATGCCTAGCCAACTGTTCCTTTAAAGTCCATCTCTTTGAAAGACATCTTTTTCCAGGTTCTCAAGTGATGTTGTTTTCCAGGTTCTTAAGACTCGGTAGAGGAACAAAGATGAGATCTGTTGCTATACAGTCACAGAAACACAAGCCTCCTCCAGGTCCTTCCCTATTCACTACTGTCTTTCCACTTTGTAACAGATAGCACAGCACTTTAGGAATAGAAGAGAGCATCAAGTTTTATAGGCTCAAAGCATAATGGAGGCCCCAGTGCCACTGATCCATTTAACACACACATTATTGAGTGACTACTGCATGCTGGGGGTACGGCTGTGAATAAGGCAAATGAAGCCCCTGTTCTAAAGGGGAGACACAGAATATAGAGAAACACATGAAAAAGACCATTCAGGGTGCTCTGTATGTTTCAAAGGAGTTAACAAAGGTGATATGATGATGAATGCTGGGGGTCTGAGTACACCACTTTAGGTGGGATGGTCAGGAAAGACTCCAGGGTCTGAGAGAGTGAAATGTGAGCTGAGACACGACTGGTTTACCCAAGAGCCTAGGGACAAGTGTCCTAGTAGGGGCCACAGCAAATGCAGAGACTGTAAGGAGAGAAAGAGGGCCAGGCAGTGGCTCATGTCTGTAACCTGAGCACTCTGGAAGGCCCAGGCAGGAGGACTGCTAGAGCCCCAAGGGTTTCAGACCAGCCTGGGTAACATAAGAAAACTCATCTCTACAAAAAAATCAAAAATTAGTAGGGCATGTACCTGTAGTCCCAGTTACTTAGGAGACTGAGGTGGAAGGATCACCTAAGTCCAGAAGGTCAAGGCTGTGGTGACCAGTGATCTGTGCCACCGCACTCCAACCTGGGCAACAGTGAGACTCCGATGAAGGAAGGGAGGGAGGGAGGGAGGGAGGGAGGAAGGAAGGAAGGAAGGAAGGAAGGGAGGGAGGAAGGAGAAAGCGAGAAAAGGATGAATATTGCTCAAACTTAGTGAACCAGTAAGAGAAGCGCTTGAAAGCAGCAAATTAGAAGGGAAGTCAAGGTCTGATCATTTAGATCATTGAAGGCCACGGCTTGACTTTTATTCCAAGTACATCCTTTCTTTCCAAACCTCAATCCAGAAAATCAAATGCTAACTAGTGACAGATACCTCCAGTGCCCCTGGCATAAATTTGTTAATTTCTCCAAATGACACTGCCTTTTATTAAGTGATACAAATACATTCGAGTAGTTTCAAGGATTTATTCTAAGAAAAGGTGTTCCCATGTTTTCATGACAGATAATATCAATTCCAAGGAGAATAGGGGTTTGTAATTTTTTTTTTTTTGAGTTGGAGTTTCACTCCGTCTCCCAGACTGGAGTGCAGTGGCCACTCCCGGCCACCGCAGCCTCGACCTGCTGGGCTCCGGCGATCCTTCCGCCTCAGCCTTCTGAGTAGCTGGAACTACAGGCTGGCTAATTTTTGATTTATTGTAGAGATGAGGTCTCACCAAGATGCCCGGGCGGGACTCGAACCCGCGGGCTCAAGCAATCCACTCACCTAGCCTCCGAAAGTGTGGGATTACAGGCTGAGCCACTGAGCCCGGCGGGGTTTGTATTTTTATGAACATTTGCATCTTTTGCCTGCCTTCCTGACTTCTGGGAGCTGAGGCCCTGCACACGTACTCTACTACTCTCCCCTACCGACCCCAATCCACTCTCCCTCCTTCATCCTGTTTTTGGCACCCAACTCTGGATCTACCCCTGCCCCACATAGCTTTTCTCAGTCTACTTTTATTCATCCCTTCCGTGCACTTAGAAACACACACACACACACACACACACACACACACACACACACACACACATTCTGTTCTACACAATCCAACCGCTACTCAGTGAATTTTGCTAAAATGTTGTTGACCGTTGAATCTTGGATATGAGTTTTGTCTCCCTGATTGTAAGCCTCTAGAAGACCATACCTTCAACTAAGTCCAACCTAGCATTTCAGAAATATTGGCACACTAGAAATTAGGGCATGTTCCCAACCTTATTTCCATTATGCATACTGTTCTGACTTCTTCAGCGATACCCAGCCAGCTAATGCTCATTAATGATAATGATAATAAAAGAAGTAGTGTAGATTTCCAAAATGCCTACGTTTTTCAGAAGTCTCATTATGGCAAGAGTTTGGATCTCTCCTCACCAAATATTTTATTTTAACACAAAGCAACCTTGACAGGTTTTTATTTCATTTTCTTTTCAAACCTGCTGTGGCCACCTGCGGTGTCAATTGTGACATGAAGTAATGTTAATGTGGCCAAGAGGTGGGCTGGAGGAAGGAAATGCACAGGAAATGGGTAACCCACAAATGGGATAACTGCCCTGGATTGGAAGGATGCTGCCTGAAATAGTAATTATGAAAATTGAAGAAAACCAGCCGTCTATGGAAAACATGTGTGTTAGAAGGGAAGCAAGTAGGTTCCTTTCTTCCACCTCTGCTTCTGTTGAATCTGACTTTACCATTAAATATTCTTGTACCACTTTTTTCTCTTTTTTTTCTTTATATCCGCCACCATGGTTGGAGGCGAAGCAGGGGAAATATCCAATTGATACTTCCACTTGGATATAATCTAATACAGCAGACAGCCAAAATGTCAAAGATAAAAAAAAATTAATCAAACCCTGGAGTGTTTCTTGCAAATGAGTAATAAAGTCAGAGGACACTTGAATCAGAGCCCTGGGTCCTGAACGTGAACATTAGATTGCTAACACATTTCAAACGGTCCAGACTTTCAGAGGTGTTTCTAATGTAACTGTTTCCTATATACCCATGGTATCCAGAGAACAAAGACTATGGGAAATACTGATGTCACTCAACACTGAACAAAGACAAAAATGAGTTCGTCATTTCCTTAACTGACTGATTGAAATGGTATTTAAACTAAGCTCTATTTATTTGCCAGGAATCTATGTATGTTACCCAGCACTCAAATGCAAAAGGACACATATTAGCCCTCATTTCCTCATCCACAGTCAACCATGGTGAGAAGATTCTGCCAGGAGACCAAAGATGAGTGTCTGGAATTGTGTTACCACGTATGTAAGCCCATGGCCTGGTGTTCACAAAAAAGGGCCAGTCAGAAACTTCCAACATATGTGAAGTTGTTGAAAACTACATATGAGCACAATATATGCAAAATAAGTATTTATAATAAATTTGTGTACCTTCAGTTCTGAACAATGTACTGTATTCAGTAATGGCCTATTAAACATTTAAAAACAACAATGGACACAGAACAGAAAATATTGCACAGAAATAAAGGTTACCACCAAGATCTCTCACTTTTTTAATCCATAAAAGCTTTTATTCTTTTTAGAAATGAAATTTTAAACAGATTGTTCTGTGAGTTCAAGAGATGGCCTTTTCCATCAAGGGCTATGAGCTATTCTGCTTATAAACCAGTCTGGATGTGTCCACTTCTCTTGGGGCTTCATAAACATATCACAGTGTTTGCTCAATGAAAGAAAAGTTTATACCTGACATAAACACTTTGTTATGTTCTCACCATCATTTTCTTCACACTGGGATGCGGGAAAGCCCTCAATGTCATTCTTTTAAAACTTCTCTAAGTTCTGAGGCTCTCCAGTGAACTGCCAGTTAAACGCTGTCAACAATCTGCTAACATTGAAAACATTTGTTGTTCATTATTACCGATCAGTGGCTCACACGACGTATCTCCGACTAGATAATGTTAACAAGGAAACAGAATCAAATACATAAAAATTTGTTTTAGAGACAAGTGAAGAAACACATCTAGTCAATGAAATACAGTGTATGCACGCCTGAAATTCTTTGTAAAATTTGGAGCTCAGGAGTTGTAAGAATCTTTTTAAAAAATAGAACTGATACTCCCTTAAGTGAAAATACAACATCTATTAGGTCTTTACCATGGCCAAGTACTGTACTAATCACTTTATGTGGATTTGTGTCATTTAAGACTTAGAACAACCACTTGTGAAAGAACAACCACTCATCATCTGTTTTTCACAGATAAAGAAAAGGAGACT